AATATCTAATCAAATATCATCAATATTTGATTATTTAAAAGGAATACATTATGGCAGTGTATCCTAACATGGAGAAATACATATTTACTCTTTGTATGATCAAAATAAATACTTAGATATTAATAAATATCCCCAAATTAAGGGTTGAGTAGTTTTCAAATAATAATGTCTATGTTGTGGTGGCTAAACATTTTATACTGCCTTTATGCCTGTCTGTTTTAGAAACTGACACGCAATCCAAAATCCAAATGAATTAATATTATATAATCTAAGCAGTGTTTTCTGGCTAGTAATTTGTTGTAAATAACTTAATATTTTGTAGATAAGTATTTCTTTATGCTCCTGTTCACATAGTAATAATTGAGTTGGGTATAAGAAATTTTTCCAATAAATATGTTGTTTACTAAAAAGTCTTGCATTATATAGTAATTTGGATGAAAATGATTATAAACTTGAATTACAAATACCTTAAATTTCGAAGTCCACGTATGTCTTTTTTAGCTGGGAGTCAGATATCTCCCTTTTCAGTTTTTTCTTACACGTATCAATTGTCCAAAGCCTTACTCAAGCTAGGAGGAGCAAAATAATAAATTTAGTCTTCAAAATCTAGGAGTTCACAGAGATGGCAAGGCCTGTCAGCCTACTACTGCGGTTACATTTTAATGCCACTATGGTGTACCTAATGACAGCAGATTGAACAGATTGACAAGTGTATTTTAACTGTGAAGTGAAACACATGCTGATCTGAGTTCTATAAAATTTGCAGTGGATACTCCAGGCTTGGGCCTTAATAGTACTAGTCTGCTAACTCTATTCACATGATCTTAGTAGAGCAGGAACTAGGGAGAGGCAAGTGACTTGCCAAGGAAATAAAGTTTAAAGAGGTACTTGCTTTCACATCCCTTCAAGTGCCAAACCTCACTGTACAACTGTGCTGTTGATAGATAGTGTATCAACCCATAGGTATGGCAAGAAAATTAGTCTTAATAAATCTAAAGGAATGCAAAAAATATCATATATGTTCCTCAACCCTCACAAAACTAAATAGAAATCAACAACATAATTGTTTCTAGAAATCTTAACGTATCTGGAAATTATTATAAACAACAAATTTCTGAAATAACTTGAGAGTAAAGAAGAAAAAGAAGGCCGGGCGTGGTGGCTCAAGCCTATAATCCCAGCACTTTGGGAGGCCGAGACGGGTGGATCATAAGGTCAGGAGATCGAGACCATCCTGGCTAACACGGTGAAACCCCGTCTCTACTAAAAAATACAAAAAACTAGCTGGGCGAGGTGGCGGGCGCCTGTAGTCCCAGCTACTCGGGAGGCTGAGGCAGGAGAATGGCGTAAACCCGGGAGGCGGAGCTTGCAGTGAGCTGAGATCCAGCCACTGCACTCCAGCCTGGGCGACAGAGCCAGACTCCGTCTCAAAAAACAAAGAAGAAAAAGAATAATATGGAACCATATGAAAAGTCATGAAATGTAACTAAAACAGTGCTTAGCTAAAACAGTGCTTATACTGTGCCTAAGCACTTATAACAGTGCTTATAGTCCCAAGTTTCTACACCAGAAAAAGAACTCTCAAATCAATATTTTAAGCTTCAGCCTTAAATAAATGGAAAAAAGAACACATTAAATGAAAAGCATACAAACGAAAGAGAACAGTCAGATTTGTACAGAAATCATTAAAACTTCTTAGAGAAAATCAATGAAACAAAAAATTGATTTTTGAGGAAAACAAAATGGACAAATCTTTAGTCGGAATGAACAAAGAAAAAATACAAGGAAAGACACAGGTAAATAAAACAAGCATTGAAAGTGAGGACTCATTAATGACCACTCAAAATTTAAAAGATTATAAGGAAATAACGTGAACAACATTAGGCCAACAAATGTGACGACTTAGATGAAATAAATAAATTCTTAAATATATGTAAATTACTAAAAATGCCTAAAGGAGAAATGGAAAATTCATATAGGCCTGCCAGATATTTAAGAGATTAGTACCAATTCTCATCAACTGGCACTAATCTCTTAAAAGAAGAGAAAAGGAAAAAGAGAAGAGAAAGGAACACTTCTGAAGTCATGGTATCAGGCCAGTATTACCCTCATACCAAAACCACAGACAAAGCTGCCACAAGAAAACTAAAGACCAATATCGCTTATGAATAAAGATAGAAAATCTCAGCCGAAATATGAGAAAATTGAATCCAATCACATATAAAAATATTTTTCTATCCTGATAAAGTACAATTTTTTCCCGGGATTTAAGATAATTTTGATATCTGAAAGTCAATTAATGTAATATACCATATTAATATAATAAAGGACAAAGCCTACATAATCATCACAATAGTTGCAGGAAAAGCATATCACAAAATCTAACACCTGTTCATTATAAAAACTCTCAACAAATTAGAAATAGAAAAACAATCTTTCAGCCTGATGAAAAGCGTCTATGACAAATGTCTAGGGAACATCATCCTAAAGGTGTCAGGATGACAGCTTTTCTCTTTCTCCGAAGAATTAGGAAACAAGACAATGATATCTACTTTCACCATTTCTATTTAACACTGGAACATAGGAGGTTCCAGGCTATTTGTTAGACACAAACACACACACACACACACACACACACACGGACATATTGGTTGAAAGGAAAGCAGTAAAACTGTCTTTATTCACAAATTACATAATCTAATATGTAGAAAATCCTAAGGAATCCCCCTAGTAACCGGATTTATAAAGTTTTCACATTACAAGCTAATATACACAAGTCATTTGCCTTTCTCTATATATTAAAAACAATATTTCAAGGCTGGGTGTGGTGGCTCACACCTGTAATCCCAGCACTTTGGGAGGCCGAGGCGGGCAGATCACAAGGTCAGGAGTTCGAGACCAGCCTGGCCAACATAGGGAAACCCCATCTCTACTAAAAATACAAAAATTAGCCAGGCATGGTGGTGCATGCCTGTGGTCCCAGCTACTTGGGAGACTGAGGCAGGAGAATCACTTGAATGCAGAAGGCTGAGGTTGTGGTGAGCTGAGATCGCGCCACTGCACTCCAGCCTGGGTAACACAGTGAGACTCTGACTGAAAAAAATAAATAAATAAAAATAAAATTCAAAAATAAAATTAAGAAAGCAATTCTAGTTACAAGACCATCAAAATGCTTAGATATGAATTTAACAAATAAATGCAAGACTTTAACTTAAAGCTATGCAACAATGTTGAGAAAATTGCAAGAATAGTAAAAAAGATGGAGATACATTGCATATTCATTGATTGTAATTCAATCTTGTCAGGATGGAAATTTTTCCCAATTTTATCTATTGATTTAATAAAATTCCTAATAATATTCCAGCAGGCTTTGTGTAGACATTGACAAGCTCATAGAAAAATTTATAGGAAGCTACAAAAAGAATCCATAGCATAGCTAAAATGATTTTTGGAAAAAAAGAAGGAAAGGTTGAATGACTACCCAATTTCAAAACCTACCATATAGCTATATGCATTATGTGTTTTTCTGGTCAGTGGGTTATTGCACATAAAAAGGCATATAAATCAGGAAAAAATAATTGATATGCCAGAAATCAACTTTCATATTTATCATAGGTCAGTTTTAACAGTCGCTAAACAAATAAACAAATGAGGAAAGGACAGTCTTAAAAGAAAAAAAGTGTCATAACAATTCTATGTGTATATGTGAACCACATAATCTAAATAATTATCCCACACCATATAAAAAATAAATCAAATGGATTAGGAATCTAAACAGAGGAGTTGAAATTATAAAATATATTAAAATGTCTTCATGACCTTGGGTTAGGCAAAATATTATTAGACACCAATTATATGACACCAAAAGATATGATATAAAAATGACAAAATGGACTTAATTAAATAAAGGAAAAGTTAATAAAATTGGGTTTCATTCAATAAAAACTTTTGCTATCCAAATGTCAACAAGTGAGAAAATGGAAAGCCAAGGCAAGGAGAAAATACTTTCAAGTTACGTATATCATAAAGGACTTTTATTCAGTATATACAAAGAACCCACTCAAAGAATGTTCTCAATCATAAGAAAGCTGATAGCTCAATTTAAAAATAGTTAATAGATTTAAATAGACATGTCATTTTTGAAGATACACACATGATTAATACACATACCAGAAGATGCTCAAAATAATTAGTCATTAGTGAATGCAAATTGAAGCCACAGTGAGATACAATTGTACATTCACTAGAATGACTACAATAAAGAAAACAGACAATATCAAATCTTGGCAAGAATGTGGAGAAACATAAATCTGACACATTGCTGATGAGAATGTTAATATGGCACAGCTAGTTTGGAAAACAGGTTAGCAGTTTCCTAAAATGTTAAACATGAATATTCCATAAAATCCAGCAATTCCACTCCTGGGAATCTTTTCAAGAAATATGAAAATATCTATTCCCTCAAATAATTGTATATGAATTCATGATTCATAGGAACCAAAAATTGAAAACAGATGTCCACTGAAGGATGAATGGATTAACAAAATGTTGTGTATATTGTGAATTATTCTTTAGCAATATAAAGTACCAACTACTCATACATGATACAACATGAAAATTCTTTTTAAAAAATGCTATGCAAAAGAAGTCAATCACAAAAGACCACATACTCCATCACACCTTTCTAATGAAATGCCTGGAAGTGGGTTTGGGTACAAAGATTGACAACAACAGAGCTCTTCTCTGGGTAATGGAATTTTGCTAAAACTGCATTCTGATGATGCTTGAGTAGCTCTATACATTTGCAAAATTTATTGAATTGTAGAATTGCAGTGAATGAATTTTATAATATATAACTTACACTGCAATAAATTTGTTAAAGAAAAATATTTCATGAACTCTAGAGAAATTTTCTAGAATGTTTTGCTACATACCTATGTTCATTTCTTCTTTCCTTCCTTCCTTTTCTTTTATGTCTTTCTTGTGTGTGATTTTTTAAGGTCCATTCTGTGAGGTGTCAACAAAACCTTGTGTTTCTCTGCTCTGTTGGAAAAGAGGAATTTGCCCAAATAGCAGCTCTGCTTACACTTATGAATGCCCAAAAGGATCTTCCAGCCAAAATGGTGAAACTGATGTCAGTGAATGTTCATTAATACTGTGTGAGAATGGTACCGACGGCATCAAAATATCAAATGTAAGTCTCAATCTAACATACAAGTGAGTGGTTTCAAATTTTTTTTACTATTACCAAGCAATTTGAAAAGAATAAATAATTAGAATTTTCAATAAGGTAGTTTAATTGTTAAACTCAGAAAAGCAAGAATAATCTACTTATTTTAGTTTTTCCTATTGATATAGGAAAAAATTTGCTCTTCCATCGGTATTCTGCCTTTTAAAAGAATATAAATTTGTATACTTTTCATTTTTACTTACTGCATTTTGTTCATCTTTTAGTTATTCAATATTGTTATACTTTAACTTTTCAATTTAACATTTGAATAAATAAGAGTAGGAAATATTTTGTTAGCAGTTCTCACAAATTACTGTCTTTCAATTTAGACTCATATTTATCATTAACTCTTTAAAGAAATTTAAGAGTTTATTTTTCCAACCTCCTGAACGTTTTGTTACTAACACTCTGAAAAGAATTTTTTTCCCCTGGAGAACTGTCTATTTTATCAAAAAAAATTGCTGAACTTTTGCTGAGAAGAATTAGTTAAATTATATAGAACATAATATACAGATGAAAGCTTATAGAAGAACATTTTTTACTCCACCTGAAATTACTTCTACCATGCGCAAAGATTTGTTACCAATGTACAATATACTAGACCCAAATATTTGGAGATACAGGGGCAAAGAGCAATAATACATGCTTCTTCTAAAAATCAAGGAAACTATTATTGTAGTAGGCAGACTATGCCCCTCATCCTGCACCAAAAAATAAAATAAAAATAAAATGAATAAACATGTCTATGCATTAATCCTGGGAATATGTGCCTGTGCTATGTTACCCAGCAAGAGGAAATTAAGATTGCAGATGGAATAAAGGCTGCTAATCAGCTGATGTTATCCTGGATTATTTGGGTGGATCCAGTGTAATCACAAGGGTCCTTTAAAATAGAGGAGAGAGATGGAAGAATCAGAGTCAAAGGGAGATTCGATGATGTAATGAGGCTGGTTTTAAACATGGAGGAAGGGACCATAAAAAAAAAAAAAAAAAAATTGAATGCAGCTTCTAGAATAAGCTGGAAAAGTGAGGGGAACATTTTCCTGCAGAGCCTACAGAAGGGACACAGCAGACATCTTGGTTTTAGCCTTCTGAAACTTTTCAGACTTATGACCTCTGGAACTCTAAGAAAATGATTTTTTGTTGTTGTTGTTGTTGCTGCTTTAAGCTACTAAGTTTGTAATAATTTGCTATATAAATAAAAAGTTGTTATATAAATAAAAAACTAGTACAATAATCTATGAAGAACTATTAATAGTATCATTTAAAATATTTTGCTTTTAAACTTGAAAATAATGAACAATTGAACACATTCTTTAACTTTACTAGTTAAAAGAATCTTAAGACGTGACTTTTAATGGATGTATGCTTAACTATTAATTCATAGAAGTACTTTAATTCTATTTTCCTTCTCTATTATTCATTATTACATTTAGAAGAATTATTTTGTAGGTAAATTACTTGGAATATTGTACATTTTATCATTTGTATTGCTGCCATGTATGAGCTTGGGCAAGCTATATACCTCTTTCAATGTTAGTTTTGAGTTAAATTAAATAAATTTTTATTAGATTCCATCAGAAAAAAGCAAAATAATCAATTTTAAGTATCTGGGCTTTTCACCTTGGAATCACTTAATAAATCTTGTTGTTCAGATAAATATGATAATGAAAATGATGGTAATGATGATGATGTTGATGATAATAATAATAAAGAAAAAAGAGAGGAAAAATAAGGAGGGCAGCAAGAGGAAGAAATATGATGACTAGAGTGTATCTTGAATGCAGGTGAAATTAACTTTTGCCCAGCAAATTTAATTTTGTTTTATTATACCTGCCCATGGATGCATGGACTTGTTTCAGGTGCCAATGGTTTATTTTCTATGCATAGTCAACCCAAAACTTGGTGGCTTAAAATAATTATTTCATTATTATCTCTTATGATACTGTGAACTGACTTGTCCCAGCTAAGATGTTTTTTAGAGTCCCTCTGAGGTTGCCATCAGAAAGTGTCTAGACTTGGACTTCATCTTGAAAGTTCTCTTATTCACATGTTTGGTAGTTAATGTTGGCTGTTAGCTTGGCCCACAACTGGGCCTATTAGCCACAACCCTAAACATGATTTCTCCATGTGGCCTACACTTCCTGAGAGCATGGTGGCTGGGTTCAAAGAGCAAGAACCCTAAGATAATTAAATAGAACCTATATGGCGTTTAAAGCATCCTTTTATCCGTGGTCACAATCCTGCTTATGTTCAAGAGGAAGGGAATGTAGAACCTGACTCATAATAGAGGAGTTTTGATTTCACATAGCAGGAAGACTGTGTGAGATGGGAGAAGGTGTTGTGACATTTTGGAAAATAGAATCTGCCACAATGTTGACAGATAATTTCTACTCCAAGTTCATGAAAATAGTTTTAGCCCTTCTCCAGGTAAGAACCCATTCATTACCTTTAAAATATCCAAACTACTTTGTAAAAATGCTTTCTCATCTTTCGTAGGATGTTATGTGCATCTGTTCACCAATATTTACAGATTTGCTTTGTAAGAGCATTCAAACATCATATGAGTCATTTCCTTTGAAGAATAATGCTACATTTAAGAAATGTGAAAAAGATTATCTTTGCAGGTATAATTAATTTTCTGTTTATTTTTAATATAAAATATATGGATTTTTAAATCATGTGAATAAAAATATAATGATGTTCTGGTTTTAACCCTAACTTTTACTTAATTATATATAATATTCTATTTTAATTTAAAGTAAAATTTTGTTCCATGTTTTGGGTTAATTGTTATGGTATTAATTTAAAATGAATATTTGCAAAATTATCAAGCCTAATTTAGGTGTACGGTTATAAAACAAATACTTTGTTTCATAATGGAGGTTTTAATATAACCAAATAATAATTGAAGGTCTAGAAAGAAAAGAGAGATGTATGTCTCCATAGCATTATTTCTATTATACACATAGTGTTGAAATATTTTAAAATAATAGAATAACTATTTCTTCCTGTATTTCACAGACCTCAGCAGATAGATATTAGTTAGGGTCTTTAGGCAGACTTTTAGGAATTCATTATTTCTTTAAGTAATAATTTTCCACAGATTACTCATTTATAAATGGCAGAAGTGACCTAAATATCTGGGCATATAATTTAGTCAATTTTAAATAGCTTTATAGACATTTTCTCACATCATTAAGAAATACAATTTGTACCCTTCACACTTGCTTGACTTTTATCTGGCTGCTTAAAGTAAATTCTGTTGGGCATTATTGAAAAGCAGTAAGTAGCCTCAAAATTTTAGAATAATTCATAAAAGCAGAAAATTAACATGTGGGGTACAGAATAGCCTTGGAACACACTGAAAAGAAACTTAGAATATGCATCCACTTCACACTGTACAATACTTTAATCTATTTCAAAGGAATCCAAATTTAAAGGTTTTTTTTATTAAACCTTTTGAAATGTGACTTTTTCAAAAGAAATGACAATAAACCTCATCATTATATCAAGATACTGAAAACTCTAACCCATTCGGTCAAATTTTTGCATACCTTCAATCGTGTATTAATTCATCAGTAAACCTAAATGCTATCCCTTTAAAAACATTTACTTTTAATTTACAAGTCTATTTCTATGCCTTAATATGCTAGTATATTAGTGAATGTACTTAGAAAAGTGATCAACTTAAAAAAAAAAAAAAAAAACAGACACATCTCTACAAACATAAAACTGACTGATTAGAAAGAAAATTGCTAACTCTGGCTCAGGTGAAATAATTGAGATATAATAAATATTAATTAAGTGTGAAGTTGAAAAATAATGACAGGAAATTAATCCTGAAATCTATTTTTCTGTTCTCATATGAGTCAAAGAATATTAGTGAATATAATAATAAATAAAAACGACTTGACTTCAATGCTTTTATGTTAAGGATTTATCTGTGTGTTACTAACTTATGAGGTATGTTTTCTGAGGTCAGTGACTCTAACACTTTGAAATTAGAACTTCTTGAAGAGCTAAAGTACCAATGGTTGTTCCTTGTCTCTAGTGTTTATAATTTAATAGGTCTGAAATGAGGATTGCAAATGTACCTTTCCAACAAAGTCGTAAGTGATGCTGATGCTCCTGATCTAGAGACGCCATACTTTGAGAACTGTTAGTCAAGATGAGCTTGGCCTTAAACAGCATCAATGTGGGAAATTGTCTTATACCTTCCACCTAGTTTAACTATTCTTTTCTACTGAAGTTTTGCTCTTCTGAATTTGGGAGAAAAAATATGTGTTAAGGTGAAAAGGAGTCAAATGTGGAAAGGAGAAGAATAGAGTGATTATGATGATATTAGTTTCCTACCTGAATATATGCTATTGATCAAAATTTATATGGGTAGATGAGAGAGAAACTGAAGCAGAATTACCTCCTTGAGAAAGATAGTGAAACATTGGTTATGGAAATTTTTATTTGGTACCTAGTAACTTAAAGCAATACAGTTAGAAAGAAATTAATTTTCTCCTGTAGTTAAAAATCAGAAAATTCCTTACCACCTAGAAGACTGAAAGCTTTAGGTGTCTATGGGAAGTTAGCATAAAAATATTATTATGAGCAGAAAGAGTTGTAAAGTCTCAAAAGTGGCAAAGCTGGGAGCAGGTAGCACACAAGTAGAGCCTGATAGGAAAGGAAAAGGAATAATTGATGTCTTGGAAGTATCAGACAGATTGAATACAATTTTGGCGACTCTCTTAAATTACAGAAGAATGATTTGATTGTTTATGTAATACTTTGGATAATAATTTGAAAATAATATGGAGTTTGTGAAATACAACAATTACAAAAAATGCAACAAATATTTAAAAAAGGATAGTTGACCAGTATTTGGGTGGTGGTTTAGCCATCCAAATACTAGGAATTCCTAGATAATTCCTCTAACTCTTCTCTAGCATTACTGCTCTCCATCTACAAAAGTGAGATAACTTTTTCACCCCCTACTTGCTTGTTTGGCCCTAGAAGGTAAATTTTTTCAAGGTATATTTGGCACTTTTGCAAGTTGATACTTTAACCATTTGGAAGAAAGTCTGCACTTAAGATTAACAATGAAACTCCTACTAGAGGTTTTAAAGGGAAATGAAAGTCACACTCTACAGTGACACTAAGAAACTGTGTTGCAGCATGTAATTGTGCAACTGGAGGTCATTTTGCAACCATGAAGTTCAGCAAGGAGACAAAGCCAAAACAGATATACATCTGAAAGGATTAAAAACAGAGCCAGAACAATGATCAATTTCTTTATGAAGAAAGAACTGCCTATAGACAGTTTAACAATATGAGCCAATAATTCCCTGCATTGGTTTAGTCTGTTTGAGTTAGGATTATGTTATTTATAACTGAAAACTTTCCATGTAAATATGCTGAAATTCTTTACAAACCACTAAGTTAGATTACTCACATATTGTAAATGGTTAATCTTTAGCCATACAAGTAGTTTTGTTGTGCACTAAATTATTAGTTATCTATTAAAAGAAAATCAAATATTTTTGTAATATTGCTGACTACTTTATGAAAATGATTTTGAATTACTAGAAAAACCTACTCTACTGTAAGATATTCAAGAAGAATGTGTTTTGTTCATTTTTGTATTTCTTTTTACTCTTTTTTCTCCACGCTTCTCTACTCACTTCATTTCGTTCATTTGATCTTCAATCGCTGATACTCTTTCTTCCAGTTAATTGAGTTGGCTACAGAAGCTTGTGCACTTGTCACGTAGTTCTCGTGTTAATGTTATGGTTTTCATCTCTATCAGTTCTTTTAAGGTCTTCTCTGCATTGATTACTCTAGTTATCCATTCATCCATTCTTTTTTCAAGGTTTTTAGTTTATTTGCACTGGTTACGTAGTTCCTCCTTTAGCTCTGAGAAGTTTGATCGACTGAAGCCTTCTTCTCTCAACTCGTCAAAGTCATTCTCCGTTCTGCTTTGTTCTGTTGCTGGCGATGAGCTGCGTTCCTTTGGAGCGGGAAATGCCCTCTGATTTTTTGAATTTCCAGTTTTTCTGCACTGCTTTTTCCCCATCTTTGTGGTTTTTATCTACCTTTGGTCTTTGATGATGGTGAGGCACTGATGGGGTTTTGGTGTGGGTGTCCTTTCTGTTTGTTAGATTTCCTTCTAATAGTCAGGACCCTCAGCTGTAGATCTGTTGGAGTTTGCTTGAGGTCCACTCCAGACCCTGTTTGCCTGGGTATCAGCAGCGGAGGCTGCAGAAGATAGAATATTGCTGAGCAGCCAATGTTGCTGTCTGATTCTGGCTCTGGAAGCTTCGTGTCAGGGGTGTACCCCACTGTGTGAGGTGTGAGGTGTGAGGTGTTAGTCTCCACCTAGTAGGGGAGGTCTCCCAGTCAGGCTACTCAGGGGTCAGGGACCCGCTTGAGCATGCAGTCTGTCCGTTCTCAGATCTCAGCCTCCGTGCTGGGAGATCCACTGCTCTCTTCAAAGCTGTCAGACAGGGGCATTTACCTCTGCCAAGGTTTCTGTGGCTTTTTGTTTAGCTATGCCCAGTCCCCAGAGGAGGAGTCTACAGAGGCAGGCCGGCCTCCTTGAGCTGTGGTGGGCTCCACCCAGTTCGAGCTTCCTGGAGGCTTTGTTTACCTACTTAAGCCCAGCAATGGTGGGCACCCCTCCCCCAGCTTCACTGCCACCTTACAGTCAGATCTCAGACTGCTGTGCTAGCAATGAGGGAGGCTCCGTGGGCATGGGACCCTCTGGGCCAGGTGTGGGATATAATCTCCTGGTATGCCATTTGCTAAGACTCTTGGTAAAGTGCAGTATTAGGGTGGGAGTTACCCGATTTTCCAGGTGTTGTGTGTCTCAATTTCCTTTGGCTAGGAAAAGGAATTCCCTTCTCCCTCATGCTTCCCAGGTGAGGTGATGCCTCGCCCTGCTTCAGCTCTTGCTGGACGGGCTGCACTCGTGGACCAGCGCCAACTGTCCTACACGCCCCAGTGAGATGGACCCAGTACCTCAGTTGAAAATGCAGAAATCGCCCGTCTTCTGGGTTGCTCACGCTGGGAGCTGCAGGCCTGAGCTATTCCTATTCGGCCATCTTGGGTGCACCCCCCAGTATAATTTCAAGTAATATTTATGTCTAAATAAGTACCACTAAATATCTAATCAAATATCATCAATATTTGATTATTTAAAAGGAATACATTATGGCAGTGTATCCTAACATGGAGAAATACATATTTACTCTTTGTATGATCAAAATAAATACTTAGATATTAATAAATATCCCCAAATTAAAGGCTGAGTTGTTTTCAAATAATAATGTCTATATTGTGGTGGCTGAACATTTTATACTGCCTTTATGCCTGTCTGTTTTAGAAACTGACGCACAATCCAAAATCCAAATGAATTAATATTATATAATCTAAGCAGTGTTTTCTGGCTAGTAATTTGTGATAAATAGCTTACTATTTTGTAGATAAGTATTTTTTTATGCTCCTATTCACATAGTAAGAAATGAGTTGGGAATAAGAAATTTTTCCAATAAATATGTTGTTTACTAAAAAGTCTTGCATTATATAGTAATTTGGATGAAAATGATTATGAACTTAAATTACAAATACCTTAAAT